CTATCGATAATGGAACCAGTTCTCGCAAGTTGTCTAAGCGTGTCAGCTTTGACACCACCAATGTCGATATGGATGATAGCACCCCTGTGCGCGGTGCTCTGCCTGCTGCTAGCGATGTCGATAGTCCTGCTAACGATGAGACCCCTCGCCAGTCCCGCGCAGCTAACGCTTCACCCGGCTCAAAGACCCCCGAGATGGAGGAAGTCAAGGGCAATGAGTTGGCTATCGTTCATGAGGAGGACATTACTGCGACCCCAGAGGCATCATCTACTAGCGTTGCTGACAACACCCCCGGCCAGTATTGGATCTCACCTCCCATGGAGGATCTTGAGAAGTTAAACCGTATGCAGCGACAAAAGGTTGACCAATTCACTGTGGGACGCGATAATGTCGGCTATGTCTCTTTCAAGGTTCCTGTTGATATCAGCAACATTGACCTCGCTGACATTTGCGGCACTCTGATTGTGCTTGAGCCTCGTTCCGCCACTGTTTACCCCGTTTCCGCTAAGAAGCCACCGGTCGGAAAGGGCCTCAACGTACCTGCAAGAATTGCTCTTGAGCAGTCATGGCCTCGTGGTGGTCGCGATAAGAAGATTGCTAGCGACCCCAAACGATTTAACAAACACGTGGAGCGTCTCAAGCGAATCGAGAACACAACTTTTGAGAGCTACGACAAGGACACTGGCATCTGGGTTTTCTCAGTTGAACATTTCACTACCTATGGTCTCGATGACGACGACTCTGACGATGAGGATATGGTCGAGGATGAGCCTGTTCCTACACAGACTTTCAATGCCTCCATCGGCTCTGTCGACTCCGCCATGGGAAACGATACCTTCAGCTTCGGAAGTCCTCATGGCCTACCTGGCGGATTTGATGAGCAGCCACAAGCTTTGGAAACCCAGATGTCTGGTCAGCAGTCTTTTTTAGGGGTTAGCTCCGCGGATTCTGCACCCAACGATGTCAGGCTATCCCTCGAGGAGTACGCCGATGACATGGGTGACGAATATGACGTGTCCGAGGATGAAGACATGGCGAGGTCTTCACTCGAACAGCATCTGGCCGCGGAGCTCGACGATAACTCGTCCGAGGGTGTCCCAGAAGCCGTCAAGGCTACCCCTGGAGGCATTCTCAGAGCTAGAATGCGAGCTGTAAAGGACTCTGCTGGTCCAATGCAGCTCGAAGTCGCAGATGGCGACGATTGGATGGAAATGTTAAGAAAGACTGTCAGCCCGGTCAAGCGAGATCGACAACGTTTGAGAGAGATGAATGAGTCCCCATCAAGAAAAACTGGCGTGTTGATTGACCTTGACAAGAGTGGATCTGACACTATGCGGAAATCATCAATCTGGAGGAAGAGCACAGCAAAGCAAGACAGATTGGATAATCTTGCGGCAAGCACCATTGGCATGGATAAAGGTCGTGGGTTTGCGACTAGCATCGATCTCATGAACTCACTGTTTGAGAAACCCAAGCCAGCACCCCAGAACATGCAAGCCTCAATGTCTGGCAAAGGCTTTCCCAAGGTCGGTTCCCTAGTTGTATCCTGATTGACCCCACATTATAATAATATACTGGAGGTTTATGTATCTATGATTTTATATTACATGAATTGAAGCTAAATTTGATTTTGAATAGTGGCCCTACGAGAGACAAGACAAGACGATGAGCTTGGATGGATACGAGAAAGCCTTCCACGACGCTGCCCGACCTACCTGGGGACCGGATGAGATGCTTGTTGTACCTCGACCCCTGGTCTCGGATGGTGGTCGACGATCCCTCACCCAACATGCCGATATCATTTCTTTCCAGCGCTCTACAGTCCAGACTGAGAACCAAGAGGTCCGCTTGGCCACATTTGCAACCGAGGTTTGTGGTCCGAGGATGAGTGATTGATATAAACTGACTAGTCGTACAGCACTCTAAGCGATATCTCGGCAACCAGGATAAGCTTACTGACATTCGAATTGTTGATGAGGTCCCTTTTGCGACACTAAACGCTGCTCATCTCCAGGATGTTTTCCATCACCAGGACATGAATGATCCTGCAAGCATGCAGGAGAAGCATGTGTGGGAGCTGGCCAGCATTCTCTTCGACCCCCTCGACACATTTACCCAACCTGAACATGTCGTTCGCAGAACCAAGCTCTCTCACTTCTGGTCCCATTTGGTGGACTCGGCTTCATCCACAACCATCGGCCTTGCGAGGTCGAGCGATGAAAAAGCTGTGGCTTGTTTGGCCGGCCATCGCATTATCGAAGCCTGCAAGCATCTTCTTGATGGAAAGAACTTTCGCCTCGCCACATTGGTTCCTCTCATTGGCACGAGTGACGCTGCCAAGAAGGACATGCGAGATCAGCTAAAGGCTTGGCATGACTCGAAAATGCTTTCGGAGTTTTCGGAATCGATCCGTACCATCTATGAGCTTCTGTCTGGCAATTCATGCGTCTGTGAAGGGATGAAGGGCGTGCCTGTCGAGGATCGTCTGGATTCTTTTGTCATTTCGAAGAAGTTCGGTCTTGACTGGAAGCAATCTTTTGGCCTTCGCCTTTGGTACTCAATTGGCCAGAACGATGATCTGGCGGCCGCAGTGACTGGGTTCAAGAACGATGTTGACCAGGAGAGAGAATATCTGCCACTGCCTTGGTATATTGACCAAGGTGTCAAGCCTTTGTGGGATGATGTAGACGCTGATCGTCGACAAGATCTTCTCTGGGGTCTTTTGCAGATGTATGCCAGTGATGCCTCTGACCTTCAGGCTGTGTTGCGTCCAGAGAACTCACAGCTGTCTCCTCTTGACATGCGTTTGACATGGCAGCTTGGTCTTGCTCTCTCATCCAGCGGCAAGGTCTCTTTTGGCCAAGATGGTGCAGAGAAGGCTGACGCAGCTACCGTTGCGTTTGCTTCCCAACTCACGAGCGCTGGTGAATGGCTCGAGGCTGTATTCGTACTGCTTCATCTGAGCAAGCCACTTGCCCGCAAGATGGCTATCCAGGAACATCTCGCGCGACATGCTGGTCTTATTGGAGATGAAAACTCGTCCGCGTTTAGCATTCTTACAGAGAAGTTATTGATTCCTTCATTATGGATTTGGGAGGCCCTGGCTTTGTACATGCGCAGCGTGAAGAAGGATGCGTACTTGGAGGTTCAGTGTTTGCTGCGCGCTACCTCCTTTGTGGAGGCTCATCGTGTTCTCGTCAAGGAGGTTGCACCACTCGCCATTGTCGAGCGCGATTACGCAAACCTCTCCTCTCTCATCTCTCAATTTGAGGGCCGACAGGAACTCATCTCTGATTGGTCATTGGGAGGTGAGATCTACAGCTTCTTCCTTGCTCTGATTCAGCACCGCGCCCAGCATGAGGTTACGCCGCAGCCCATTCTAGAGAAACTCCTCGCTGGCCTGCACGCGATGGATGAGGAAGCAGGAGATGCTGGCGTTCTAAGATATGCTGCTGTGTCGGACATGGCGGATGAGACTGCCAAGGAGATTATCAAGGCTAGTAAGAAGAAACAGGTATGTTTGAGTCGATATGCTTTCGTCAGAACACATGACTAACTGGACGACTTTTAGGATAAGGAACTGAGGTCTAGAATACTCAACTTGCCTCTGACACAAGACCGTCTACTGGCTTACTCGGTCGATTTGAGCATGGAACGATACCGCGAAGTAATGTCCCACTAGGATAAGGGCACAGGTCGGAACTGTATAGAAATGACGCCGCATTGGAGTGGCTTTACGGTGATTTAGTAATATCCTTTGTATTGGAGAATGCAGTCAAAAGAGTGCGTTTTGAAGTTGAGTCTGAGCAGGAGCATCAATGGTCTTAAAAAGCAGACCACATTGTAGAATAGTCTAAATAGTCATAAGGAGCATGAAGGAAAAGAATTTTGGGATGTCGGATTTCCTTGATGGTGATGTTTATAATGATGGTTAGTGAATCAATTACACAGAATGAAAAGTTAGCAATACTACTTCCTACTAATGCAAGCAATTAAACGAAACATAGAGAATAAGTAAAGCCTTGAGCGAAGTATTTGTAACCAAGTATGATGGACCTGTACTGAACGTGGGGTTGAGTGGATCATCAACCTCAACCTCAGCAGAGGTTTATGCTCTGTAAATAAACCAACAAGTCATGTCTAAACCTAAAAACTGGCCAGATGGCTTCCCTTATCTCAAGTCACCTCTTCATGATAAGAGTTTGACCCTAATACATATTCAAGCTCTCAGGAGCAAACCCTCTCCGTCAAGCGGCATCCCCATTATCCCATCAGCCTCAACAACAACGCCATGTAACCTTGTCAAGATCCAACCCATCTCCAACCCTTCACATCCAGCCAACGGCCAATGCGGCCTCTTTGCAGCGCAGAATCTCGCACCTGGTAGTTTCATCCTCGCGTACCTGGGCCGTGTACATTCAGGCACCGTATCATCGACTGAGAGCGACTACGACTTGTGGCTGGACCGCGAGATGGACGCTGCGGTTGATGCGGCGAATCAAGGAAATGAAGGACGCTACGTGAACGATTTCAGAGGCGTGGGAGACAGGGCGAACGCAGAGTTTCGGACAGTTTGGTGTGAGAGATGGGGGGAGTTTTGTGTGGGAGTTTGGGTTTTGGGAGGTGGAAAGAAGAAGAAGGGAGTGGGAATCAAAAAGGGAGAAGAGATTCTTGTTAGTTATGGCAAAGGGTTCTGGGGAAACAGGCAGGCGCAGGAATTCGAATATGAGTATGAGTATGAGCACAAGTATCAAGAAGGGCAAGAAGAGGAGAGAGACGCTAAAGAGAGGAAGTGATTATTACCAACTTAGGAGATGGTATTTAGATCGAACTATGATCCATCATCTGCATATTCTAAATACCTGAACCGTAAAACCGTTCCTGAAACTGTGCAGAATTCGTCACCCGAGGGTGATCATGACCGACCTCCCGTTCCTGTGATAGCGCAGAGCTTGACTAACAAGCCTTAGAGGTAGGCACGGGATGTAGATACAATTCTTCTACACATGTCGGTGGAGATAGGCCGCGTATGGCGGCGCGGGGGCCGCGGTATGCTCCTGTCCGCACCCTTGAGTAGCATCCGCGGGGGGAGGATAGTCGTTGAGTTCGATAGCGTCATCTCTGGGAGGCGCATACTTCCGAGAGAACCTCCACAAGTTCCAGCACTGGAAGATCATGGCGATGAAAATGACTGAGAAGCATATAAAGGCATAGCCCATTCTGTCACATTTTTTATCCGTTCCAGCCTCCTTGCAGCGCTTCGAACGGAACGCTGACGAGCTGAACATCAAACATATCTGCAAGCCTAAGAGGACCCAGATGTTATTATTCAGTACCTCAGCGTAGATCTTGCCGGGCTCAGGGACTAGAACGAGAGTGTTAGTTTTTGAGTCGTAAACTATGGACCGGGGAGTAGGATGGTGCGGATTTACCTTGTTCATCGATAGTCTGGGGACGGCGAATCTTGCGAGAGACTGCTACGGCCAGGGTGGTGTTTGCTATAGCTGTAACGGCGGTAATTCCAATGAGAACAGCTGCGTATCGGTTAGTATTCGGGATACTAATCAACAAGAAGGAAGATAGAACAAGTCTTACAGTGAAGTACCCCACGCTTGAAATCTGAAAATTCCGACATGCTCAGGACATCCATGGGAAACTCAGGAGAGAATGTCACGAGAGTCTTGTTGTTGTAGATGAAGGTGTGGTTTAGGTTTGACATATGGTCAAGATTTCGATCTGAATGTGACGAAATCTGCATGAGGACCCGGCAAATGGAAATACCGCAAGAGATAGCGAGGAAGTACAGGGCAGACGACATTATTTGCTTGTGGTAAACTTATCAGTGAGCATGCAATATGGGCACAGCCTAAGCTATATATAATGGCGAGGGGGTGATTTAAGTACACAAACCATAAATTGAAGATTTATTGGGAAAGTATAAGTAAAAGTAAAGGTGCCACTCTTCATAGATCTAAACCCAGCTTCACAACTAGAAACCTCATCCATCAAAGTCTCTTTTCTCTTCTAGGTTTCGTAGTTTCAAGCCTCAAGACTCGCGCCATCAGAATTGTACTCTGGAAGCTCCCCAGTCCAATAAGGGAGGATAAATGATGTAAATACAAGGCCATTGAAGAGCACAAGAAGCAGAAGCAACCATCCCTGAGCCTGAGGGTCGAATCCGAAATGCACCATCGAGTCAACCCACACAAAAGCCACCGCAGCCCACATGATCATGGTCACTCTTCTGATTAGTCTGACTTCTTTCCCAAGAGTGACTGGGTTTTCTTTCATTAGTTAGCAAGTGAACCAATACAAAATAGGGGGGACTGGTTCTGTACTTACTATGATGTAACGTCGGCACATGATGAAGGCGAGAAAACATGTAATGCGGGAGAACAAGGAGTAACGAGAAGTGTACGGTCAGGTCTAATGATTGTTTAACATTGTACTGAGATTGTTTAAAAAGAATGTAAATACTTACATATCACGCAGAGGGGATCCAAAGAGGCCGCTTCCATGATGGTCGATCTGCCAGGCATGCCTGGAGTGATTGTTGATAGTGACTGAAAGTCCATAGTGTATGATTTTGAGCAGAGATAGAATATCACCACGAGGGAGCTATGGTGTAGAAGGTGGAACGTATTTGAGGCGGAGTCCTTTTATAAAGTAAAAGGATCAAAACTCTCGCATCAACCACTCCTCGTCCCCTTATAAATACTTCACACAAACCAGCGCAACAAACCATCTTTTACCTTTACGAATTCTTTCCATTTCGTTTAAATTCAGCAGGCGGCCCTTTTCCCTGTCTTGATTCTTTACTCCAATCACCTTTTCGACATTTTTCCTGCAAGTCGACTCGACTCAACTCAGTCAACATGAAGTCTGATTATGAGAATCTTTCTGCTATTTGGTGGACGCCATGTTAGTATACCACTACAGATTATATCAATTATTTGTACTAACTATTACTAGTCCTCAAGTATGGTGGAATTACCTTGTTCCAAATTGCGGTCTTGTGCGTGGGATCAGAGATCCACCGAGATGTTAAGTTGTGTATGTCGTCCATTTATCTCTTCGTTACTAGTATCTTAGATTCATTCACTAACAGAACTCTTACTCAAATAGCTAGCCCCGATTTACAGCAATGCTTCCGTGCTCACTCGCAGGCCATGGTAAACTTCGCCGTCATCATGGCCCTGGCCGAGTGGTACGCTTCCATCGTTGTGGTAACCCTCGACGGACCTTTCATCATCATCCCCTATGTCTTCATTGCCCAGCTTTTCGTCACGATTCTTTACTTCCTTCTTCCCTTCGAGTACTACGATATGGACGTCGAGGAAGAAGAGCGGGCGCAAGACCAAGACGGGGAGAAGATGCCCATGATGGATGAAGACGAAGATCTCGACAGGCTTGAGTCTCTCTATTCTTCATCCGGCAGCGTTGTCTCAATCCCCCGAAACGACAAGTCTGGAGTTTCTGGCTACGGGACTATGGAAAAATTTCGGCAGATGCCCCGTCCTGGAAACTCTAGTCCCGTCTAGGATAGGAGATTGAGGTTAGAGCGGAGGCTGAAGCTCGTGAAGGGGAGGAATGGTCGCAGGTTGAAGGGCCAAGGTTGTTCATGTTCTGGTCGAACTCAAAAAGATACCATGGGGAGTTTAACTTGTCTACTGTTTCTTTGTTACTACATTCGATTAATGTGGGAATTCGAGAATATACAACCCAGTCTTTATTGCGATGGAATGCAAACGTTTCGACCCCCTATATTGACAGTCAACAGAACCCCCTGTGTATGTAACTGAATTAGTGGCCCATGCCCTTTAGTATTGAAACAAAAACCTAAAGTCTGGTTCAGATTGTTTAAACTGACTTACTATTTCATCCTGCTTTTTGCCTGGGGTCCAGCCTTGATGATGCTCAGAGAGTTGGCCCTTCATATGACAGGTATTTGACTCGATTAAGACATCACTGGTTGGCCAACTACAACACTTGTTGATGAGCTTACAGGAAAAGAACATGGTCCGAGTCTTGGCATCATACTTGGGGTCGTGCTGTATTGAACATCCACTCTAGAGTTGAAGACACAACAAAGTATCGTGGGACTGTAAGAACGGTTGCATCCTTTGTTGCTAACATCCCGCAATCATTCTAAATAGAAAGGAACGGTGTAGCACAGAACAACCTGTTATGTTTTAAACAATACTTATGAACATTGGGGAGTGCATAGTTATTACAATGGAACAAAAGAATGTTCCAACAATGTCATTGTTTAACGACAAGAACTAGCAACTTGAACAACCACCAAGATACATGACAGTTCTCAGTTGTGATATGTCAATCTTGTAGTATAAAGCTTAAGTTTCGTCTCGTAGAACTGATATTACCAAACAACTCAACATCCAGCACTACAAGCTAACAAACAACTACAGCATCACTCTAACCAACGTACTAGCAAACAGACAACTTAAGAAACTCGCATTTAAGTCGCAAAGATGGCTCCTTTCCAAGGGAATAGCCGCATAAGCAAGGCATCAAGCAAGGCACCACGCAACAACCGACGCAATGGGCCTGGTGCCTTCTCTTTCAGGGCCAAGATAAACCTCTTTGCGCACGCTAGCTTCACGCCTCCCTACCCTCTTCTGATGTTGACGACGCAGGTATTGATTGTATCACCTGCTACAGAAGCTAACAGTGTTGAGTTGGGTCCAAGAAGCGCTGTTTCTAAGAACATTGAAGCTCTCAGACGACAAACGCTAAACAGAGATGTAGGTAATCGTCAACCCTTCTACGGAGTCCACCAGGCTCATTTTGATCTTAGCCGCGGAGAATCGGTCACTGCGCATATGCGTGGTACAGACAAGATGTATCACAAAGATGACCTCGTACTTGGCACGATTATCTCGGCCCCTTACCACGGTCAGAAACGAGATGACACTGTTTCGACATACGACCACAACACAGGAGTGACAGCCTTTAGTGCTGTTTACTCCAAGTATCGCAAAATGGTCGTCATCGAGTGTTGGGCAGAGCATGTCGTCTGCTTGCCCATCTACAGCTACAACAGCAAAGGTCTCGAAAACCGTCAAGGAATGGTAAGTGAGTACATGGATATCCGTGACGCCGATGACAAGCGTCCTGCACCGGGAGACACTTGCGACAAGCCATTGCTTGCTATTCGTGACGACAACTGGCCCGGTAGAAACACATTCATTGCAGGTAAGTCAGTTGTCAAGCTAACTGAGAGGGCTGTCCACCTTTTGTTCCAAAAGTGTTCAATTGAGGGAAAGCTTGAACCAGACCATTTCCTTCGGCTGTACAAGGAAGTGGTCATGTTGAACCACGAAAAAGCCCTTGAAGTGTTTGGCAAGCCCAAGCCCATCGGGGAGTCCAAGTAGGGGGTCATCGTGCCATGACAAACTAACCGCAAGGTTAGCAACAAGGTGAGGATGTTCTTGAATACTAACTCTATTTCAGCACTCACATAGATACACTCTTTTAATCAAATTTCCTTTGTTCTGCTTTCTATCCCTGAATGATTTGGCCCCTAATAATACTAGGGACGCTATAGCCTGTGACTGTCTAAATGATTCAATAACAAAATGCGCTTGCTACAAACAAAAGCCTCTATCGTATGAGAGATAAAGCTAATAAAGCAAACCACGCCGTTCCTCCAAGGTATAATAAACACAACCGTAAACAAACTCTCATCACCTGTGGCTACCCGCTCTTAGGTATAATTATTTAAATGTCCTCCCCTTCAGCGTCAACGTCCTCCTCTCCTTCTTCGGCAGCTTGCTCTCCATTTTCGTCCGCCACAGAGGCTTTGCGTGTAGCAGCAGTCCTATTAGTAGCTTTTGTTCCATTGGCCCGCATCGATACCACGACTGAGTCTTCTGCGGGCTCTTCGACTGCCACTTCCTGATCTGGGTCGTTCCCTTCGGTGATGTCTCGTAGCTTGGTTTGCTTATCCTGCCACCCGGGCGGCAGACCAGGACCACTGGCTGCGTTGCCGTAGTCAGATTTCTTTGTGCCCTTTGGCCATCGGCCTGGACCACGGCCTGTGCCACCAGTCTTTTTCTTAGATGAGCTCTTAGGTCTGGATGATGATGATGTGCGATGGCTGCCGCTGCTGCGCTTTTGCCTTGGGGCGCTGCTAGTAGTACGAGGCACGGTCGGACGGCTGACGCTTGGTCTTGCCCTCTCACGTCTACCTCCAGGAATAGCTGGGAATACCTCGAAGCGAGTATACGGAATATCCTGATATGGCTTTAGCCAAGTAGGCGGGCCATCATTTTCTGCATCCTTCATCTCCACATCCTTGTCTTTCTCTTCCCCAGGTGCTATGTCCTCGATGGACGGGACTGGGGCTGGCTCAGCACCGTCATCTTCGACCACATCATCCTGAGCTTCGCCGTTGACGTTCGCTTCAGCTTCAGCACCAGTGTCGATATTTGTAGCTTCCTCATTCTTTTCTCCGTTTATTAGGGACTGGCCTCCAGTGCCAGTTGTTCCAAGTCCTTCGTCGACCTTGGCCTCGTCGTCTTCCCTTGGTGCGATAGTGTTTATTGGGGGGCCCAGTTCAAAGTTGACGGCATTGCTTCGGCCCATAACATATGGTGTCCAAACAAGAGATTCAGGCTTCAGCTGTACATAGCCCTTTGCCTCCCATTTGCCTACATATTGTCGGCAATAGTCTAAGTCAACTCTGAAGGCATAAGTCTTGGTCTGTGGATCCCTGACCAGAGCTCTTAGACCCTCCAGGGCGGATATAACATCATCTGGTGTCATGCCGGTACTGTCGGATATGCGCTTGATGCTAAGCCCCTCTATCGCATACTTCTCCTCTTTCATCACTGTCAAGAAATACCGACACATAACCAGCCGCCAGTAGTTACGGTATGAAACTAGACCCATATCCGATAGCGGCTTTTCTGGCGAACCAGTTTTCTCCTCAACTTTTGTAAGCAAGTATGAGAAATCAATAAGTAAGTTACCATAGCCTTTCCGCTGGTGTATTGGTAGTGTGAGAATACAAGAAACATTGTTCTGGCTACTTGCTCGCTTTTCTTTTGAGAAGTACCCCACAAAGTGGTATCCTGTCTCGTTGTATTCGCACAAGACGTAGAAGAGGAATGGTTCCACGTCGTAGTATAACGTTTTCGAACCTAAAAATAGCTTGGCGAGAAGGCACAGATTCTGACAGTAGACTGGGTTTTTGCGGCCGTCAACTTCGAAAACCGAGACAGATCCGTGTCGATAGATCTCGTCTCCCGGTGGATGCTTGGCTGGGCATTTGAGTTTGTGTCGCCAGGCAACGTAGTCTGATGCCATATATTTGAGGCAGAACTCGCAGATGTACAGTACCCGAGTTGTGCAGTACTCGGCAGGATATGGCGCAGCATACCACGTATCGATTTCCCATCCACCAAATTCGATGCACTCAATATGGCTGGCGTTGTCAGCCGTCTTCTTTGCTTTTCGGACAGGCGCATGGGCCTCTTCCTGCATGGCCAGAAGCCGTGCTCTCCATTCTTCGTCGGCCTTCTGCAAGGCATCTTTGAACCTGTTCTCGTCGTCTTCGGCTGGAAGAGTTTTGGATGTGTCAGCATCTGCTTCTGACAGAATACCGCCGTAGGGTTTGCCCTGCATCTCTTCCAGATCACAGTCGAAGTATAATGGTTGTGAATAGTTGTCCGATGTAAAAGGGGTTGGGAGGACAGATATAGCTGCAATTGCGGTAGCTCGTGGTGTTGGGGCTGGTCGTTGGGGAGGCGGTCGTGTGACAGTTCCAGGTTGTCGTCGGGTCTCTCTTTTTTTGCGGCCAAGAACTTCCTTGAGGTTGCCAGGCTTGACCTGGAGTTTAAGTACAAGCGATGTACGTGTGTGCTTCTTGATTGAAACTAGTGGGGGCCGTGTAACCTTGAGACGTAAAGTTCTGGAAGTGTTATGTCGACTTGGTTCGGCGCTTCCATTTCGCGCCGTGCCTTCGGATGCTGCATCGTTGGACTGGTTTCGTCGGCGTTTTCTTAACGAAATCGGGTTTCCATCGGTTTCCAATGACGACGATTTGCGCTTTCTCAAGGTGCGCGGCGCCTCTCTTAGCTCCTCATCAGGCTCGTCGTTGTCTTCATGATGTGATTCATGATGGGAGCTAGCGTCTTCGTCCTCCACTTGTTGCTCAAAATAGGCTTCGCCTGAGAGTTCGGGAATTTCAGACTGCTGAGAAGGAAGTCCGGCATCATGCTCGGCATCATGATCCTCCATCACCTCATCTTCTCCCTCGACGTCAGATTCTTGACCAAAACAATCTGGGCATTTCCAATGATCAGGGGCTAGAAGTGTTAGCAGTGGCCAGATTTCAGGGCATACCATACTCACTATTTTCGGTGCTCAATGCCGCGGCGTCGCGCGCGCATTGCTGGTGAGCTATATGTTTGTAAGCCTCCAAAAGTTTGATATTGTAGTTTGGATACTCACCATTCAGGCCACAACGAGCGCAAGCCAGGTACGCCTCGAACTCCTCGCTTGGGTCGTCGTCTTCTCCTTGAGTGCAGAAATGGCAGTTGTTCGTTTCTGCAGTTTCCTCATCATCGTGATCTTCTTCGGCTTCGGCAGCATCGTCCCAAGCAGCCTCCTCGTCTGACTCTTCTTCGTTGGCGCTAGGGAATTCGGATTTATCACTTTCGCTGTCTTCGTCGTCGTTTCTGGTTCCAGGTTGAAATTTGACAGCCCCAACGCCCTCATCGTCTTCGTACTCTTCTCCTTCAGCGTCCATGTCCTCGTCGCCTTCAGCATCCGCATCTACATCGTCATGCTCCTCTTCGGCCTCTTCCCCTTCTACTTCCTCGTCCGCCTCATCTTCTTCTTGATCGGTTTGTCGGCTGTTATGGGATGATAGTTGCGGGGGTGCTAGGTATTCATTATCCTCCTCGCCCGATGCGTCAACATCCTCGCCTGAGGCATCTTGGTCGCTCAGGTCGATATCGGCATTGTCTGATGGGTCTCGGTCGACGCTAGACACTGCCCCATCTTCTCTAGAACCTGTTGCAATAATTGTTGTATCTCCTCCTGCTTCGCCTGCCGTATCATACTCGGCATCCTCGTCTGAAACCATGACGCCTTTTTGAAGCTGCTCTTCCATTATTTGTGCGCTTGTTGTAATTACTCCCGCGTACCGGAAGCGAATATTCTGAAATGCAGCCTATATTTTGCATAGCGATCGTTATCGGAATTTGAAGGAGCGTTTCTCGCGGTATGATCACGTCTTGTTCATCGCGGTTACGGCTGAAGACGCGGCCTTGGATTGAGGGGCGGCGTGTGAAAGATGCAGGACCAAGAATAACCAAAGACAAAATTAACAGGTCTATCGAGTATTCTGCCTCAATTCAACCTACGCGTTTGTAGAGAGTACAAATCCCGTGGAGATGCAATAAGTCAAGCCACTTGATCAAGTCGCGTCGACTTGGTCGATATCAAACAGCTGTCGCGGGAGCTAGTTGCCACAGTGCGTGCGACGATTGATTGATTGATTGGGCGTTGTAATCTGGTGACACACTGTGTGATTAATCTTGCTCTTAACTGTATTTCATGCAGGGATAGAATCAGAGCTAAATTTGTGCCTCAGGCATCAACAAAACGCATCACCAATCGCTGAATCGTCAATGGCTCGGCTCGACGTGAGCTTCAATTCAAGGCCCGGCCATTCGAAAGATTCTCGACCACGACGACGAACTAGGACGACAGGTCAGGCCTGGTCAATTCGATTTCCCATTCTCCGAAGAACATACCGAATACCTCAAAGTCTGCTTAGGCAGCGCCGCCGTCACAATGCCCGTTCCTTTTGAGGCTCTTCTTCCCTATGCCATCATGATTGGTGTATGTCGCCATCCGATTCCGCAGCTCTATAATATGGAGGCTCATTAAGTTATAGATGTTCGGTATCTCTGGTACCGGTCTTGCCGTCATTAAGAACATCCAAAACGAGGGCAAGCGACCTCGTTACTCGGTGGATCAGTGGGATAGAGTAAGTTATGCGCACCTATAGTCAACACATAATGCTAATTGTCTTTCAGCAAAGTACGATACAACCCTGAAATGTGCGCTATTTGAAGAACACTAACCAAAGAATTAGTGATGGAACGTGACCGTCGTCTTACAGGAACTCTACGAGGACAAACAGACAAGCCAGAGGCACCCTTAGGGTTCGAATTGAACAACCCCTGGAAGGTATGTGGTGCTCTTGATACCATGATTCACAAATTGACACGAGAATTCAGCTGGAAACACGCTTTTCTTAAACAATAGTACGATGGCTTAGAGCGAGTGGTTACAGGAAGGGAACCCAGATCGACAAATGTAATTATACAATTTGGGTCCGAGGCAATAAGGCTACGGCCTGGCCTATAGAGTGGGCGGCGGCTAAGAGAGAGAATTCAACAATATCAAACAATTTCTCTTGTCCAAATCGCGAAGAATGTTTGAGGCCGAGTGGTTTGGTCTTGACAGCAGGGGTATCTCCATTATATCGCTATCTCTGCTCTATTCTTATTCAGACCCTCCAGTAGCGTACAAGCCTGGCACATGGTCTGACTCGACATGTAGCCACACTTGACACACTTTCCTAGACTCTGCTTCGGTGCAGGCGGTGCCTCCTTCTGCTTTGGCTTCTTTGTCCTAACTGGTAGAGGTACGGCATCGTCCTTGGGGGCTCCGTTGACCGTGATCTCTGTTTCGAGAGCTGCAGATTCGTGCTGCGTCTTTAAGCTAGCCTCGACTTGGGCCATCTCGTTGCCAGAAGTTCGCCCGTTGGCCGAACCACAGCCTCCAATCCCCTCGCCCTCGTCGCAGCCGCCGCATGCCCCTTGGCCCTTGTCGGGTGTAAGACGAGCCATGTCCTCTCCACTCCTGACAATATCCAAGATGGCGCTTGGCCGCACCTTTTCGAGATTCTTGATAAGTCCTCGTGCTGTACCTCTGAAAGCCTCTGGACTGTATATACACTCTGTGCTGAAGTAGTCCAACTTCTTGTGGTGTGCATAAAGAACAATCTCCTTCTCGTAGGCGTACTTGAGAGGCTTGCTTCTCATGACCTCGCTGCTTGAGTTTCCCGTGACGATGCTGGTACTTCGAGATAGCCGAGGCATGTCTCCTCGTAAAAGGTTCATGAGGACAGTCTCAGCAACATCGTCGGCGTTGTGGCCGGTAATAACGTGCTGAATAGCTAATTTCTTGGCCCCTCGATCCAAGGCCTGTCGTCGGAAAACACCACAATACGTGCAGTTTCCCTTCTTTCCAATAGTTTCGACGACCTGGTCCATAGTCCATCCATACAGCTCATCGTAGCCGACAATCTCCAGGGGCATGTCGTATTGAACAGCATTTCGCTTGACTGTCTCTAGTGAATCATCTCGGTATCCCTTGATACCTTCGTCAACACTAAGCAATACCAGATCCAGCCCGTAGTCGTGGCGTTCGTTCAAGGTTTTCATCACAGAAGCCAGAACTGTTGAATCCTTGCCACCTGAAGCACCAATAGCAACTCGTTCACCCCGGAAGAAGAGCTTTGACGATGTGATTGTATGGTGAACTTCATCTTCAAAAACTTGAATGAAGCAGTCGCGACATAGCTTATGGTGGTTCTTGGGTCGCTTTACAACAGCCCTGTTATTCTTACACCGAAAGCAAGGTGTAGGTGCCATTTTGTTGTAGGTTGAATTAGTCTCTCAGTTGGGTTGAAAGTATCTGAATGCTTGTTGTCTAAGTGGAGAAGTTCAAATGTCTGTAAGTTGGGATCTTATATCAATGTATACAATATTTTGTGCAAGAGAAGTATTCGCGTTTACTTTAACTTTACAGATTCTAGTCTTTCCCTTTCCTTCCACTTGTTGCCTCCCAAAGTTTGACTCGTGATATGGAACTTTGCCGCTGTACGAGTCACAGTCACGTGCTACTACGAAAAGGACAAAAAGATCTGGTCCAGCCTCTCTGAGAGGCAGATCCAGGGTGGAGACTTTTTCCGAAAGGTCCCACCAATTTTCAGAAGCCCTAATTATTTTTCCTATTTCGCATCTTTTCTTCTTTGAATTTATTCCATCCACCATTCGTGTCCCGGACTTTGCTCTTCAACCCACGAGCAACTACTAACCCGAACGATTCAAGATGGTGAGTGAATAAAAAATCAACTCGACTCTAATGGCCACAGTTTTGTGAGTCAAATGTGCTTTATGCGCAATTGAAGCCGCAGCGTCGTCCATATTTTGTGGGCGACACATGCTGTTGGTATTCCGCCAGTTTTCGATCACCGTAAAAAAGTGTCGAGCTGGTGAAGACTTGGCTGGAGATGCGGCGTGTGCAGAAATGCCATGGCCTATTCTCGTTAGAGTTCAGAGAAGACCTTTTGTTGGCTTGAATGCCTTGCTGATGTCTTCTTTTCTCAATGACAGCCTCCCAAAGCCGGCAAGAAGGTCGCTCCCGCCCCTTTCCCTCAGGGTAAGGCTGGCAAGAAGGCTGCCAAGGTTAGTAAATTCCATAATCTATCCCATCGGGATACAAAGATCGCTGACAGCCCTCTAGAACCCTCTCCTCGAGAAGCGACCCCGCAACTTCGGTATCGGCCAGGACATCCAGCCCAAGCGAAATGTCTCTCGCATGGTCAAGTGGCCCGAGTATGTCCGCCTCCAGCGCCAGAAGAAGATCCTTCAGATGCGCCTGAAGGTTCCCCCGGCTCTTGCTCAGTTCCAGCACGTCCTCGACCGCAACACTGCTGCCCAGGCTTTCAAGCTCCTCAACAAGTACCGACCTGAGACCAAGGCCGAGAAGAAGGAGCGTCTCCTCCAGGAGGCTACCGCCGTCAAGGAGGGCAAGAAGAAGGAGGATGTCTCCAAGAAGCCCTACACTGTCAAGTACGGTCTCAACCACGTTGTTGGCCTGATTGAGAACAAGAAGGCTTCTCTCGTCCTCATCCCCAACGACGTCGAGCCCATTGAGCTCGTTGTCTTCCTTCCTTCTCTCTGCAAGAAGATGGGTATCCCTTACGCCATTGTCAAGGGCAAGGCCCGTCTCGGAACTGTCGTCCACAAGAAGGTGAGCATTATCAAACTTACCAATTCAGAATTATATCTAACAAACAACAGACCGCTGCTGTCCTCGCCATCACCGAGGTCCGCTCCGAGGACAAGACTGAGCTCTCCAAGCTCGTCTCCGCTGTCAAGGATGGTTACCTTGAGAAGCACGACCAGGCCCGCCGACAATGGGGTGGTGGTATCATGGGTGCCAAGGCTCAGATGAAGATCATCAAGAAGCAGAAGGCTCTCGAGGCTGCTACCAAGATCTAAGTCTAATTTGTTTATACCCCTCAAATGCATTGCGAAAATGGGATCAACGGTGTTGCACGGTTCACGGCATGGAAAATGAATGATTTTTCTCGGGTTACTTTTTGTTCCCATCCCCACTCGCAGTGACATGAGGGGCTGGTCACCCAACCCTCTTAAAAATAGATGATGAGCTTGCTTCCTGGACAAGTCTTGACCGTAATTGTGATTGTAGTGCGCCTCATATCTTGCCAGAATCGAGATTACCCGTTTCTGTAGAGACCATATGCATTGGTCTTAACAATGTACCGTCGTTGCTTCTCAGTCGTGGAACAAAATCCACGATTGATCATCGGTGGACCACACAGGTGAGATAAGAGACGAAATTAGTAGACCAGTTTATGGTACTTAGACCATACTTCTTAGGCTGTTCATTTTTGTGGCCTAAAGCTCAAAGGCTAACTTTTCTGCTACCCACTATCTTGGGCACTGGTTTGTGTGTTCTATGTCACGTCATCATATAAGACTACAACGTTCAATAACCCAGTCACTGGCTAACAGTATGGGGGAGATGTTCCAGGTAAAACCACAGTCAAGCCAAGCAAATTGAATATGTTCTACTTGGAACTATTCTCTAAATTTCATCGTATCGTCAAAAAAACACTATTCCATTGCCATTCCTGCTTTAATTTCCCCTCCTCTCTCGCCCCACTTCGTGTAGACTTCATTTTCATGTCTCAGTCAAACTCAATACGCTCTTTAACCGAGAACAAGCTTGAAAAGATCGTTGTAGACGAAGTATTGTCCAGATTGGTCGCGGTGAAGCTGGAAGGTCTGGGAGAAGTTCATGGGGTTCTGCTCCTCGTCGATCTGAACAAGATTGTTAGTTATTACACAAGCATATTGTGTGGGTTGAGACATACGAGAAGAGCACCAGTGATGAGGATGATGATGCCACCCTGCTCGTTGGAGGGCTGGGCATCGATGGTAGAAACCTGGTGCTTGACTTTCTGGAAGGGGAGGCCCTGTTATATGATCGTTAGAACGTAAGCATCGGGTCATAGGTAGACAGGATACATACGGCAAGCTTCTCAACAACAGCTTCGGCACCGAGGACGGAAGCAGACTCAAAGGTCAGCATGGAGTGAGGTCGCTATCAGGAAAAAGTTAGTAAACCGTTTTGCATTGCTGCCCACCGCCTGGCAACGAATCACTTACGTAGAGAGAAGCGAGGCCCTTGCGATCAGTGTCGAAGGTGTTGTAGTAGAACTCAACAAATTGCTCTATTTGCTATGTTAGTGGTGTTGCCCATACCGCTAAAGACGGGCTGATTGAAAGCCCATCTGGGGTCCAAACGTACTGGCGACATCCTCAAAGTCTAGAAGTGTGCGCGGTTAGTTTCCAATTGTCCTGATCGTTTTCTTGCTATAGAAACTCACTTCCGGCCATTTTGAAATCTGGGGACCTGTTCGGGTCGGTTAAATCGCTAATGCGTAGAGAAGAGGAAAGCGAGTATGTTTTTGCGACAGAGTCGTTTGTTTGAGTTGGGTTATCGCAAAGTCTGCCCGAGGGGAAGCAACCACGAAAGCAAGAGATGAGATCGATGGTGGGGTTGAGGGGGCACAGTGCAGATTAGGCACAACTTGACGATTCAGAGGGCGGCTGCCACGGAAACCTACTGCGAGTTGGGCCCCAGGGCTGTGCCAGGACTGTGCGGCATCGCTAAATGCATAAATGGTGGGATGGAGCTTGGATAGGGCGATATTGTGTCTCCACTCCAGGCTGGCTGGGAAATAAAACTGCGGCTGCAACTCTGCTTGAAAAGTTTCTTTCGTTTTCAACAACATTTCCAACGGCTGCAATTGACTGCCCCAACGGAACTTTCAGGTCATGATGCTTCAAGACTCTGCAGGCTTACGCTCTGCCCCATCATAATCTTCTCGTCACGGGTTTAATTCTCACCCAGCAACAGTAAGGTACGTTACACGACACGACACGATTTGTTGTCTCGTCCAACCCGCGACGGACGCGTGCACCCATTCATTTTTCCCTTCCCCTTTTGTATGATGACAAACTCTTCCATTAAGAACGGCCAACTGAATCTCTATGTTGATTTATCAATTATCAAGCTCAACAGTCTGACAAACTTCCTTCACATTCATTAAACATTCCAAGAACCTTGTCAGAAGCATTGGCTAACTCGACAATCAGTTTAGTAAATTTTTCTCGATCATTGCTCGAGATCTTCCGGTATTGTGACAATAGTATTGTTACTTCACTCCTTTATTAGTTCCTCTTTAATGAATACAATATACCTTTCGATGAAACACAGTTCAATCTTCTCAGTAATATGTTTTTTGTCTCCAGTGAAGTGCATGGTTTTCATGTTGTCTGACAATCGTCCAAGCATCGTATCGGGTAACATTGTATACGCCATCTCATACTTCACATTGCTTCAATGAATGTGTAGAACAGAGTCATATTCTTTCTCTCGTCATGCTATCATATATACAGTAGTTTCGTTCATAGAGCCATGAGCTAGTTCCTCTGGCTGGTACAAAGTACTTGCTTTAACCTTCCAGCCTCTCTAATAGTCTGCTCCGCTCCAAATAAAGATTTCCTTGTTTCCTGCAGCGAGAAAAGCAGGGCCTTTCGTCAACGCGCCACTTGTTCTCAAAAAGCCAGAAGCACCCAAGGACTCCTTGATCGTTGCCAATACACCTTATCATGTTTTTCGTGGACCGTTTAAAATCTGCCGCAAGTAGTCATTCCGGTCATAATCGCAGCGTCTTCCCAAGTGATAATCCACCAGTCTATATCGAATCTGCTCGTACCAGCCCGCCCGTCTTGAGATCCAACAGCTTCGTGTGGGAATACTGCTGGACTCTATCGTCAGCTTCCGAGTTCGGCCATCATGCTTATTCTGGACAAGCGGAACGTCGTGTTAGTTGACTGGATGCTTCTATAGCTCTTCCTCGTCGTCAATCTTTGGTTTTTGCACCTCGGCGTTGGAAGGTGTTCCAGATCCGGATCCCGTACGTGGCGTTGACTCCAGCTCTGTCTTCAAGCCAGAGCCTGATCCAAAGTTGATGCCTTCGGCCCCGTAGTCAACGCTAGGCCTGTACTTCTTCAGTGGGCTCTGGAAAGTAGACTTGCTAGGGGTGTCAAAAATCGCTGCATTTGGCAAGCTATTGTTTGCAGGTGATCCTCCGGCGTTAGCTGCCGATGAGTTGGCAGTATTGGTAGTCTGTGATGCTGAAGACGCAGCTATGCTATCCGGGTCCGCGGAGTGTGCCCTCTTAAGCTAAATTCAGAATGTTAAGTCAGGGGGTCTTGAATGATGATCACGGCAGACTTACGTGAATACGGTCCACACCGTCAGCAAGCTCACCCTGGAATTTAGCATCTTCTGGAGCGAGCTTGGTGTCTACGTCCTTGTCGTAGGCTTCTTCCATCTTGCCCAGGTTCGCGTCGTCGTCGTCATCGTCATCGTCGCTGTCATCAGCGATATTGCCGTTACTCTTCTTTCGGGCCTTGCGTCGTCTTGAGGCTTCACTAGCTTGGTCGCGGAAGGCAGAGAAGCCAACGGTACCACCAGCCTTGAGAGGTCCCAGGTTAGAGAAGTCAAGTTGGCCTGATCTTCGCTTGACGGAGCTTGGTGTCGTCTGTGGGTTCTTTGATGACTGAATAACGCCGAGCTTTTGCAGTTGGCCTATAACGACTTGTCAGTATATGGAAGCCAGAATATGATATGGTACTTACGCTCTCCACGGTAGAAGAAGGTGAAAACGGCGTAAGGCTTGTCTGGGCCGTCAATGCCTGTGACGGTTTGGGTGCTAATAGTTTTGGGGTCAAGCGTTTTAGGCTTGGCGAAACTTGTGGTGTGTTCGACATCAGCGTCGATGCCGTTGCCTTCTTTAGACCCCATGTCGTCTTCATCGCCATCGTGAGCGTCGAATTGAGGTGAATACTCGCCCTTTTTAATTTCGCCTGAGGCAAGGACACGGAACATGGCCACTTTGATTTGACCAGTCGCCTCAGGTGGCTCATCGTCGTCATCGGACCAAGAATCGGAATCATCTAGGACAGCCTCGATAGGGGACTTGTCGTCAGCGCCGTAGCGTAGTGTGCTCCTTCGACTGGAAGATCCTTCTTCTATGTCGGCGCTGGCGTTTCCCTCAAGAGCCCCTTGTCGTCGCCGGCGCTTCTCGAACTTTTGACGACGCTTCTCTAGCTTCTCGGCAGCATCATGTCCTTGTAGATCCAAGCCGTTGAGCCATCGCTCCAGGCCGACTTCACGGAACAAGAACTCGCGCTCGGCCAGACCGCCACCTTCAGAGTCTGGGACCTGAACCCAACGGCTGTTGACCCAAGTCTCTTCGCCGGGTCGTAGCAGAGTAGCAACTTCTTCCTTGGCTCGGCCGTCAAAGTAGATATAAGCAGCGATGGTCTCGTTCTCGGAATTGGTCATGGGAATGTAGGGGTTGACCACACCAGTTGACTTGCCCCGTTCACCAGTGTTGAGCCCACCAACGAACTGAGGCTTTGGGTAAGGGTTCTCATCACTGGGCTTGGGGGTTGAGTATGGGATAGGCAGGCCTGGAGTAAGGAGCGTAATGGAGATGGCGAATTTGGCAGGCTCGGGTTTGTTTGACTCTGCGAGCTGAGGTTGGGGTACAGGAATGTAGGTGCTGATCCGCGAGAGACGAGATTGCTTCTGCATACCATGCTCTGGCAGCGGGGCAGAATTCGCATGGATGCTGACCGCAATGCCCTTGAAGCAGGGCATCGTGGCGGTACGTGCTGAGGACGAACTGGTTTGTATAATCGAGGTGAGGGGAGACAGAGATGATGATAACGGCGAGAGAGATCTAAGGTCTGGTCGTAAAGTCTGGTCTCGTTTAGGCTCGCTGAACGTTGGGCTGGTCAGGGCTAGGCTGGCGCGAAATACAAGCAGCAAAAGCAGTCGGACAGTCGCTTGCCGGTACTTAACTCAGCGCATGCGGTCAGGTCGGTGTGCTCAGCTCAGGGCTTGTCGTAAATGTTCAGACGTGGTTCGGGAGACGTCGAGAGGAACAAGCGGGTGGGCGGTGGAGGTGGTAGTCGCTGGCTGTAGTTGGTCCCGCAATAGAGTCCAAGTGAATGGAACTAGTAATGGCGGTCGGTACGTAGCGGCACGGTACCTGCTGCTGTCGTGGTAGCAGTGAGGTGGCCAGTAGACTGAGGTGGAGACAATGAGCAATTCAGAGGTTCAAGGTCATATCTCTTATATGACTACTGATATAAGGGGGGAGACAAGAGTCGGTATTTTTGATGAAGCAACTAACTAACGGATGTACTGCAAAAACTCGACTGACAAGCCGAAACGAACCAAGCGGGTGCTGTTTGTTGTTCACGGGTAGAAAGTGGAGGGGCTAAGTTACCCATGTGAAGAGAAGAGAAGAGATAGGGATCTAGATCAGCCAGCCCGAGCATGGGTATTCCTTACAATATGGAGGGGTTGGATGTGTGTGCCCGCTATAAAATTCGTTGATGAATTGCGGGCAGGGGAGGAAAATCAAAACACCTAGTCTAGGTACCTAACCTAGAAGCCCAGGTACAATATGAAATATGAGAATAGGTGCGTTGGTCAACATGAATATTGTGTGTAGAGCCCAGGTAGGTAGGTATCTGTTAGCAGCTTTTTCTGTCGGTATGTGCTGTGATTATCTAGACTAAACAACAAGAATTGCTTGTCATTGCCATTGCTGCCAATGATACATACAGCGTGTGTTGATTTCATCACACGTTCAAATGCGGACCTAAAAGCCTAACCTTACCCTCGAGCGAACAGATGACCACCAATCTTGTACAAAGGTTTTTGATATGGACAAAAACGGCTCACTCAAGGTCATGGGTTGGACCTTCGTAACTAAACTTTACTCTGCACCTTTTATGAGCTCGTCATAGAATTGCACCTCAAGTCGGCATACACCTTAAATCGGCATGGCCCAATCAAGATACTTAGACACCCCTCTGAATAAACGCCAAACATAATATAATTTCGACTTCTCATTATTCTATCGTTCATATTAAAATATATGGGTATCTGCTTCAACCACTTCGCGTACCACTGCCCCTGATTAATACACACTATACCCCAGTTTCTCCTCATAGTCTATTACGTGATGTTCGCCGTCGAATACTTGAAGTACCGTCCTCACTATAACTCGTGCCAATACCCGAGTCCTTGTGTTCCACATCCTCGTCCTTGTCGTCAAAGCTTCCATCGTCTTCATCGTCAGCATCAGCTCCTGCTCGAGGAATTTCAGACAGGGGCTGATCGGGGTCCAATTCTGGTTTGATGTCCGGCTCGTACTTGAGAGGCCGTTGCTTGCCATACGTGGGAAAGGTCTCTTCGTGGTCCGTGAGCTCCTCTTCATGGTCATCCCTCAAACCCTTGAGTCTCCTGACTTTGGCATCGTCTTCTGCAGGCGGTGATCCTGAGGCAACGCTCCATATTCCCCAAGCTACACCCATGAATACAATTTCAAAGGCCCAGAAAACAACGGTAAGAGCCAGGAATGTTGAAATACGATAGTGAACCATCATCCAACGAAGCCCGCGAAGTTGAGCCGTAAGCTGTAGGTAAGCATGGTACACCTGTATTGTTTGACCTGCCTCCACCTCAATGTATGCCGACTTAGGTAACAATGAGTCCTTTGAGAAAGAGACTCGCTCGGCCAATGGGATGATCACGGAGTTCGTGCTCGATCCCGGGGTAAACAGGTGGTAAATCAGAAACAGAAGACGGGATGCTACAGACACGAGCGGATCCACGTAAGGAAACAAAGCAGGCCTGCGGGAACTGAACAAAACATTGGCTTGATCAAACCCTTGGTGTGACGACGCATGTTGTTCAGCCTGGGTGTGAAGCCAAACGTCAGCTTTGGGGCCGAGCATGTGCAGGCTGATCATAAAGTTACCGCGCTCCACGTTTGGGGCCGAGCGCGGCATGGATAGCAATAGCGACACGTCGTACTCTTGCTGCGTTTTCATGGGCGGCGTTTGGAGTGATGTGATTCCATATGGGTTAATTCCAGAGCTATGGGAAATCCAGCCATGTCAGTGATCCATGTAGGTAAGTTGGTAGAATAAATTACGCACCCATATTGGAGATGTACCGGCAAAGTGACAACCTCATGAGGCAGGAAATTCTGAAAAAAGAGTACTGAAGCAATCGCAGCAGTACAAAAGAGAGTTGCAGCTGTTGAGACGAGGAGGACGGTGTTGACGACAGCTCGTTGAACAGGCTTAGATGTGACGACACGGGCCGTCTCTTGAAGGGTTTCCTTTGCAGACACGATCAGTCATACAGAATTCAGTCAATATCGTGAGCATAACTCACCATGTTGAGCCTACTTAGCCCATCAACTGGGATGAGACGAATTATGGTTTGTGGGAAGGAAACGAGAGTGGCATACGACAAGGGAGGAAAGGTTCAAGGGAGTTATTGGGTGAGTGGCATGTGAAGGCGACAAGCAACAGCAAGTTACACCCACATTGGACCTGGACAGGGATGGATGGACAAGGGAGCTAAGCTCTGGCAGCTCCAACGTCATAGGTACTCACAGTACTGTACATAGCTCACTTACTCACTCTCGACAGACAGGTAAGTTGTGTAACTTCACATTAATCATTGTCGCAATAATTACTGCAGCAAATCAACCGTGTAAAATTTAACATTAGGAAATAGGAGGGTGCTCTCTAATCGTACTAGTAATAAACAACAAAAACAACAAAAGCATTCGTTTCAATCTTCCCTGAACAATCATAGCTTGTACATGTACAACAATCCCCCAATCCGAGCCCGAGCTCCAAATCAAATAAATGCTGCGTCGAAAAACAGCAAACCGAAAGGTATATTAATCAAGTCGTCAATCAATTCCATCAATGCCTTAACCGCAATATAAGAAACATAATCATCCGGGAAACGTTGCGCAAATAATCCGCTCACTCGCTCATATCATGGTAAAGTTAGCACGCCGCAAGATAGTTACTTGGGACCAGCCCGACGCTTCCATCCCCGCCATGGACTTCTGCCTCCCACCATCCATCGTCTTGGTGACGAAGGACAGCAAGATAATCACCCTTGGCGAAGCTCAGCTCCTCGGGAATGGCGGCTTGGTACATATACAGAGCGCGTGCTGCAATGTTATGTTAGTATCAAACATTAATAACTTGTGACCAAGAAAAGACTTACCATAATGAAGAATAGCTCTGCCGTCGGGAGTATATAGTCGTGAAGGATCAGCAACACTCTGACTGCGTTGACGGGTGCTACCGTCGTCGTAGTAGCTATTAGCCCTGGAAGAAGGGCGGCTGCCTCCACTTCTCACAGAACCATAGGGATCTGAAACCGGTGCCAGTTGAATTGCCATATCACTGCCCGCATAACCGCTCCCAGGCCGGCTCTGCTGGCCGTAGGGTGAAGGGGAGGGCCCGCGACTAGCAGGGGATTGGGGGTAGTAACCTTGAGCAGAGCCGTGCTTCTGTGCTGAGCTCATGACGGAGGGAGAGCGTTGGCTGGCTGCATAAGGGTTTGGAGATACCGATCTATAACTCATGTTGTCGTTAATCGGTGGCTGGGGAGAAACACTCCTAGCTGGAGCTGGGGAAGCGGCCCTAGGCATATCGGTGCCTCTGGTGCCTGGTCGTGAGCCTGGCGATGTGCCGTAAACACCGGATCCTCCGCGCGACATGTCACTTCCCCTGGTTCCGGGTCGTGAAAGAGGGCTGGCATTGAAGCCTCGCGTGTCCGGACGAGACATGTCAGTTGCCCTCGTTCCTGATCGTGCGGGTGATGTGCCATAGCCGGCAGGTTCCCCTCGACCCATTTCGGTACCTCGTGTGCCTGGTCGAGACATGGATGCTGAACTATAACTTCCAGACTCACCTCTACCGTGTGTAGCGGTTCTAGTGGCAGGTCGTGAAGCGGTTGGTGGGATACTTTGGCTTGAAGATGGCTCTGCTCGCTTGGTTTCGGTAGCGCGAGTGTTGGATCTCGAAGATGTACTGTTAAACGCCCCTGGTGTGTTACCTCCATTCTCGAACATGCTACGTGTTTGCGAAGTGGCCTTCTTCGTGGCCTCCTTCATCGCCCTTGAAGTGACAGCAGGTGGCGGAACGCCCAGGCGTGATGTTGGGGTTTGATACGATGGCGGAGGCGTTCCTCTCTTTGCTGCCGCGATGTCGGGGTTCGAAGGAGTTGATACTGGCCGAGTGGCAGAAGCTTGTCTTGAGGCGGCTTCCGACCCCGATGCTGGAGTTGCAATGCCGGAATAATGATCAGCTGAGACCCTCATCGAGGAGTTCTTGCCCAATGTAACGCCCTTAAGCTCTGCAAGAGCAAGTGCGATAGGGTCTAGCTCTTCTGCGGGCTCTTGAGCTGCGGCAGCGCCAGACTTCTTTTTCGTGTCAGGGGTTGACACTGGGAAGACATTCTGCCCAACACCAAGAGCCAAGCTGGCATTGGCGTCAATTGGCTCTGGACTCTGAGTACGTTCTTGAGTCACCACATTGTTTGTTGAGCCTTGGGTCTGTGGTTGGGGTCTGCGAACCGGGCTGCTCGAGCTTTGAGTGTTTGAAGCGTGCCAAGTGTTCCTGTTCTGCTGTTGGAGTTCCTTCTGGCTCTTACGTCTAAAAGGACTGTGGTTCTTTAAGAAACCGCCACTCTTTTTCTTAGCGACCAGTTTAACAGGACTGGGAGTAGGGGCGGCGGCAGCGGGCGTTGGTGCCGGTGCCGGGGCAGGGGCAGGGGCAGGGGCATAAGCGATAGGAGCAGGAGCGGGCTTGGAAGCGGGAGTCAGAGCAGCTGGCGTTGGCGCTGGCGCTGGTGCGCGAGTTTGCACGGGGGCTGGTGCAGGCGCGGCGACCGGTGCTGGCGCTCGTGATTGTACAGGTGCCGGTGCTCGTGTTTGCACAGGAGCTGACGCGGGGGCGGGAGCAGGATCCTGTCTGATGGGATCCTGCTTAACAGGCGAGGTCTTACCACTAGGGGGCTCGACGCTAGAGAACGAGTTCGGGTTCGAATAATCACTATGCGAGTCCCTACTGGAAGGTCGAGCCGATGTTACCTGCGAATCGTGATCTGAGATTGGGCTTGGGCCAGTCCTGCAAAGCATAGTCATGCCCTCCATGGGATAGGGATCGTGGGGAACCGCCGAAACCGCACCGTGCTGGTTAGCATCGTATGCAGTATAGGCCGCGGGTTGCTGACGGCGGGAGGGGTCCTCAATAGGCCGTCGCAGCTCCAACGAGGTTCTCGTATCTGGTGTCTGTCTCGTATCGACACTGGGTCGAGATTGCATCGAAGGTCGCACTTCTCCAGAATAGCGCATTTCCAAAGAAGGCCTAGGTTCATGCTGCCGCATATTTGCGTTTCTCGTATCTGTAGGCCTCATCTCCAAGGGTCTCATTTGCTGTTGCATACGATGATCCACATTGTGAGGAGCCTGCTGGGAAGGGTGCTGGCGCTGCGGAGAATATTGCTGTTGAGATTGATGCTGCAATTGAGCAGGATGCTGAGAAGGACGCTGTGGCTGAGAAGGACGGTGCGACTGGGATGGATATTGGAGCTGAGAAGGGTGTTGTAGCTGAGAAGGATGCTGGAGTTGAGAAGGATGCTGGAGTTGAGAAGGATGCTGGAGTTGAGATGAGTGCTGCAGCTGAGAAGGGTGCTGCAGTTGGGACGGACGCTGCATCTGCGAGGGGCGCTGAAGTTGCGAGTGGTGTTGCAGTTGAGAGGGATGTTGCATCTGAGATTGGTGATGTTGACGCTGCTGAGGAGCCGCCTGGATCTGTTGGGGCTGTGTCTTTTGATGACCGATTTGGAGTATATCGTCAGGAGGTAGCGTGGCTAACTTCTGAACTGGAGCATTGGGTTCACGCTTGGCTGGAGCGTTGTCTTTGTGTGCCAGCTCCTTGGCCAACGCAGAGTTCGGATCATGATGCGACTCAAAGGTCGATGGCTGAGGAGAAGACGATCGGAAAGCAGGGTTGATCATGCGAGGGAACTGGGCTACTGAGTAGTTGTCGTCATCTGATGCCTCGGACTGGTTGTCTGTCACGTCGCCACGGCAAAAGTTGATGTACTTGGGTGCATCTGGAATCTCTTGTCCGGTCCCCTTCTCGGTGATGAAGGTAATGATATCCTTCTCCACATCCATAACCTCCAACGACAGTCGAATCTTTTCACATGACGAATCATCACTAACACATACCGTTGAGGCAATGTTGGCAAATGTCCACAGGCTGCTCTTGGTGAAGTCCAAGCGTTCTTCTTCCAGGTCTTGGAATTTGTCGGCAGCCGATTTCCATTCTCTGTTCCATCGGGCTGTTGTATCTTCGAGTGCCTTGACGGCGTTTTCATACTCGGTGCTGGATGCCGCAAGAGCGATCTGTGTCTTCTCCAATTTGGCTTTGTTGCGGCGTTCTTCTTGGCCCATGACCATGTGGCCCTGAGCAAGGTAACCTTTGATCTTTAAACACTCTTGCTCATACTTATCTCGTGTCTATGTTGATGTTAGTTCAAGTTGGTCAGAACAAGCAGGATTGAAAAGCTGACCTTGTTGACTACTTGTGTTTGTTGCATTTTGACCTTGAGAATTTTTTCGACAGTGTTTTGTATAATTTTCCGGCGTTCCTTCATTCCACCGGCAAAAGCGGCCAATGGTTCTTCGAGTTCAGATTTCACCTCTGCGCCGATAAGTTGATGTTGTTTGGCCATCTGTTCCACTTCGCCTCGGACGGTATCCAACGATGTTTTCAGTGTACCGGATTCTTGAGAACCAAGTGGCTTGCGGCTGAGGTTTAGTAGTTTTCGGGAGTATTCCTCCTCGATCGACGCTCGAGCTATGTTGTATTAGTTATGTTGCTTCGAGAAGATCTTATGGATATTGGCATACCGCCATAGAATGCTCTCAATTCATCGCATGTCGTCTTGGCCGCAGTCATGCGACTGAGCAAAGGCGTAACTCCGGCATCTTCTTTACCCCAAAAGTTGTTTGCAACTAAGATTTCATGTATCAGCCAGAGGTGAACGGTATTCAATCGAGTTCTGCTTACAGGACAGCGTAACGGTTGGAGTCTCAACTGTTGAACCAGGCATGA